CAACAATTGAAAAGGAATTGTCAAGTTCTGCACTACAATTTTTAATGGATTTCCAATGCAATATCATTCTAGGTAAAATCTGGATATATAGACGTGACTAAATCTGGCAATATTAAGGAAGATAAGAAGCTAGAAACCTGACTGCTGCCTCAGAAGTTTGCACATGACTGGAAAGTCTGTCTTATCACGTCCTCTAGCTTCACTAGAATTTTTAAACACAGATTTCTTCATTGTAGTAGCATCACTTTCTGCAACTTCAACATAATTCTACACCTATCAAAATATCTATAAATGAGACTATCCTGAAACATGTCAAAATATCACTGCTCTATTTTAGAACATCTAGAGGTATGGTGAAGCACTCATTTTGCATATATTTTGGGTTATTTCCATTTGCTTTAGAAAACTGTTCTAATTTTTATGTCTGCCATATGAGAGCCATGATTCAAATCCTACAGATGAAGTTATGATTCCAATGATTAGTTTCTTCTTGTGCATTCCTACTGAGAAATTGAAAAAAGTAATTTAATATAACTTATTCTGAAGTGGGTGCTGTTTTCTCAGTTCAAGACATCAACAGTGCCATTTCCTTGGTTTCTTTCAGGCCTTATTCATTGATTATTCAAATCACAGACTCTTATACCCCAAAACCTGATTACACTTTCTTGAGCCACTGGAGAGCCTGACTTGTTATTCTGAAAACGTGGCTGAAAAACAAATTTCAGCCAAAAGCTGAATAAACATTTATCCATGTCACAGTAATTCAGGTCAGCCAACCTGAGCATGGAATTGAACTTAAAAATACTGTGCCCCTGTAATAATTCACCATTGCTTATGTGAAGAGATAGAAGTAGTTAAGTTCCTAAAAGATGCTGAAGGATACCTGACATGGTGACCCCTGTGCAGGGCTGTGGCTCGTGGTGTCTGCTGAGCTCCCTGGGGCTGGCGAGGAACTCCTGGGTACAGTTGGAATAATGTTGGTGTGGGACTGAGGCTTCTGCTGCTGCTGATTCCTGAACTTGAGAAAGGTCAGGTGGAGCTGTGCAGCTGCTAAGGAGCCTTTCCCTCTATGTGAGACAAAATATTGTCCCCAAGATCTCGCAGGAGTGCTCAGCCATGCAAAGCAACAAGTTCTACTCAAGTAGTGGTTCACATCAAGTTGGGGCAGAGGAGAACACAGTTATGGGTCCTGCTTAAATGCTATTTAGCTCTTCAGTCCTTTTACCAGTGTCTTTCATGGTCTTAGGCAAATAGACATCTAAACATTGCAACACATGCATTCATACCCTCATGGACACTCAGCTATAGGAAGTCCTTGAACAGCTGAAGATGACCTCAGGACTTCAGAGATTTATTTCATGTGTAGGAGATCAAAATAAAATATCTCAAAGCTTCTTTGTTTCTGAATAAACAAGAAGGTATGAAGAGCTCGTGATAGATTTGTGTGGCACAAACATGCATGACAATGAGACCAACAAATCTCTCATGGATACTGTAGAGGAGTTCTACAGGTTTTTTAGTTTTAGTTTTTTGCAGCTCCTGTGTTGGGTGCTGGAAAACTTCAAATAAAAAAGAAACATCTTGGAAAATGTAATTCCAGAGATAGGCAGTCATACAGCAATGCACAGATCCTCAAGATTACAACCTCAGCACTGGTTTTCTCTACAGCAGAGTTATTCTGGTTTTCTGGTATAACAGCCTTCCTGCAAACAAGTGTCAAAACAATTCTCATTTTAAGAGTGATACACATCATATCAAACTCTAATCTAACTCTCTGGATCTCCGTACTGTTGAATATTCTGCTGCAAATGTTTGATGTTGAGGTGTATGTACTGTGGAAATACCAGTAAAGTCTGTTCTATAATGGCCTGAAAGAAGCTCTGCTTGCCCACAGTCCAGACAAGGCTTTTCGCTTTATCACCCACACCTTCCCGTGAAATGTACAGAACTTTTAAGCCAACATCCTGAAACATGAGCAGCTTCTGAAGTTGCAGTTTAGGAACTAATTTTTAATCCTGCTAAAGCAGAGCCTACCCTAAACTGACACAATGCAGCTAACTCAGGCCTAGCCAAAAGAATCAGAAGCTGTGGAAATCTTTCACATGACATAAAGATGATGAACTGCATTGCAGCTGTGGTAGAGTCCAGACCCATGTTGTTAATGACTGTACAGCACGTGTTTATGCAGTGATGTGAAAACAATTAATCAGCACTCCATGGACTTGACCAAATGGCTCAGTAAGCTTGGTGTGAATTTTATAATCTGTTGTTGCTTTTGAAATGTTTTTCTTGAGATAGGGGAAAGAGAGAGATTGAGGAGCTCTGAGAAGCGTTCCCCATCTCCACAGAGGAAGACACGGTTTCCTTCTAGCACAGCCAAGGAAGTGACTAGTAAGTCACTAGTGTCCACACATTCCTTACTGTGACACAAATCCTATTATCATAGATTGACATCTAAAACAAATTCCATTGTCCAGAGCCACACATGAATTACTGCTGAGCTTAGGAGAGTCCCTGCGTTCCTTTGGACAGCAGCTCCATTTGCCACTACCTTCTGGGCTATATTTCTCTTGAGGTATTTCAGATATGAAAATTGCCTTGTAAAATCAATCCTTTTTATTTTACAGGCCTGCATGTGAAGATTATATATCCATTAACTTTGTCATGCATCTCACCTGCTGTCCAAACAAAAAGGCCATTTCTCATTCTCTATTAAAGTTTTTCTAAGTACTTTTGATTAGAACATCTTGACTTTGATTTACTGTCACCATTATATATAATTCCATTCCTAATTCCAGTGTGAAGTAAAAGGAATTCAACAAGAAGCTCCTTCATTATCTTTAAATACATACTTTCTATTATTTCAATAATAATTATTCATCAGGGTGAATAAAACACAAACTGCAAAACTGGATTAACATAGTTCAATTTAACCCAAAATCACCTCAATCTGATACTGTATCAACAGAGAAACAGCTTGGCTATAGCACTCCTCTTTTTTTTGTTTATGTGAGACTACAGAAACGTATTCATTATGTACACTCTCATGTCTGATAAGACTTAGAAAGGGGAATATGCAGAATATGCACAGCTAGGAGAATTCACATCCAACAAAATACATAAGCAACTGAATAAGTGTTCTTCCATCCCCTTACTTGGTCCAAATCACTTGGATCTTTCTCTGCTGATCACCCTCTTTTTGAAGGGTGATCAGCACCCTTATAACCTGGGATATATTTAGGCCAAAATGTCTGCTTCGCTTGGGTTAACCGGTTTTCACTTTTTGACTTTTAATAACAAATATTTTGTAGAGTGTAAAGCACTAAATTCCTTCAAAGTCTTCATTAATCCAATCAGTGGTATTTTTAAAAGAGGTTATGACAGCTTAAATATATGGAAGGTGAGTTCTACACTGACTTTTTCTAAACCAAACACAAGAACCAGGCTGGTGAGGTCTCTGGCCTAAGAACCCTTCATTTTTTCCCACTCTGTTAGCTGGTCTTAGAATTCAGGAAGTCCTTAAGGTTATAGCTGCAGCACATCCTTAGACTACCATGGTTACAGTAACCCTATTGCTACAATGGGGATTAATGATACATTTAGCAGGTGAAAACTTCCTGCATTCCAACAATCCAAAAGGGAATTTTTTCTCCATTGACCTCATATAATACAAACACTGATTTAACAGAAAGCATCTGAAGTGGACTTTCATTCTCCAGCTGATTTCACAGCAGACTGGAATCCATTCAATGACTGGAATTGAACAAAATACATGGAGGTATTTCATTAGCATGGGTGAGTCCCCTTGGGTAAAATGATACCGAGTCTGGCTTCCAGAGCTTGCACCCCAATCCTGGCTCTCCTGTTATTTAACAGAAACCGGGGGCTGCAGACAGCACAAGAACAAACTTCAGCCTGGCTTGAAGTCAGGACACAGCCTGAGGTGCACATCATGCCCCAGGATGGACTTCCCAGTTTCTAAGGTTATACACCCATAAGAAACATTCCTAGATAAATCAATTAAGGAGAAATGCTAGCTTTCATCTTCTGATGATTTCACCTATCTTTGTTTCCAAGTTCTAATTCTTTGAGCTTTGGCCCTCAGCATCACATCGGGTCTTGGTGTTATTTCCTCTTCAGGACCAAGTCTTTCAATAACGTGACTGAAGTTGCACAGTGAACCTCACAAATCTTGTCAAGTTAAGTTCTTAGGCATGAACTGATAAAAATCAGAAATATAAACCCCAAAAATCAGTAAAGAAAGAAAACAACCTATTCCTTCAGTATATTAGAAGCTAGTAATTCATTATTTTTAATACTTAGAATAATGCAATCATGAGAAAAAGGCATTTGCCTTGCCCTGTGAGCATTTACCACTAGCAAAATTACTTAAATGAAAAGGAAAAAAAGAGATAACTGTGTACACAAAATTAGCAGGAGAATTAGCAATCAACTGTAGTTCATACAAGGTTCTTAGCAGATAACATCATGTTTATTAATAAATGATGAACTGCTTAGTGGAGTTTTTGCTTAGTGATATCACTATAATAACAGACACATGTTTTATTTATGTTTCAAGTTGCATCCAAAATAAGTGAGACATTCAGATGTCAGATTTTCACTAATATCTAAAGATTCTTTATCCCAAATTTAAACTTTCACTGATCTAGATGAGATAGCACTCCATCAAAACTAAGGGGAATAATATGATGACTTCAGTTGCTGTGCTCATCTTTGGGGGTATTTTTTCTGTGATACAACAAAGCAAAAACTGCATTTCTTAAAGCTGGCTGCACTTTTCTCATAAGGATGATACTTTTTTTTCTCTGTGGGATACAGTGCTATTTGTGCAGCAGATTGTATTTTGACAGATGCAACTGTATCATAAAAAGGCCCTTAGCACTGGTAGCTCACAAATGTTCATGAGCTCCAGAATTTCTTAAAACTATCCCAATAACTAAAATATTTTTGAGAATGTAAAATGCTTGAGAGCCACTTACCTCCCCCACACCAGTCTGCAGAATTTTGAGTCCAGTTGTTTTTTCAAGCTTCTCTTTGTTTATGGCTATAAGGAAAAATTAAGATTGAGAGAGTTAAAGGAAAGCTGGAATATGTATGATTTTACAGCATATCCCACCAACCTTCTTTCCTTCATCAATATATTCATGACAGTTCCTACCTATTCCATCTATGGAATACCATTCCCTGAGAGCAACTCTGCTAGTCAGTTTTTTGAATGCATATTTATGCTATTAATTGCTCATTATTATGAGAAAAAGAACACCAAGCTAATTCTATTTTACACAATATTACAAACATTTAGCACAGATACACAATTTGTTTGGAAAGTTCTTTTCTGAGGATACTTCCCACTTCCTTGCATTGAAGAGCAGAGCATTGAAGACCATGAGAACAGCACTGTCATAGTGTAGAACTTTTCACAACAAATACAGACTCATATCTCACAGGTAAAATAAAGAGTTTATTTCACACCACCAGGATGCAATGCACTTTTTTTTTTTTTAAATTTAGTTTTTTTTCTTTATCAGCATCTATATCAGTAAAAGCATTAAAAACTAAAATAAAGCAACCCAGCATAAAACAGTTAAATAAAGGTAATAATCACTAAGACTACAATTATACTTGCAACCCAAGCATCTCAGGGCATGAGCATGAGCACTGTTGTACAATTGCCCATTCTCTTAAACCTGTGGTGTGATATGATTTTGGCCCTGTGACTGTTAGAAGCCCCAACAAAACAGTGCTGAAACAAAGTTCTGGGAACAGCACAAGGATGAGATTATTCCTAGCTGGGTGTTTGGGTAATGCCATCCCATTCTGGATGGGAAGATTTTAAGCTTTTAGATTCAAACTTTGTCAGTTGGACTCGCGGCCAAAACCCAGGCGCCTGATTTATTTATGAGGAGCAATGAAGCCTTGCGGCCTTATTAACCTCTCCTTCCTTTAGCTGCCTGCAATCCAAGTGAGTCATCTGGGTTCTCTCTACTGTCTTTGGAAAGGGATGCACATTTACTGTGGTGAGTCATCCCACAGATCTTACACGTATCTGCAGGCACCTACCTCTTTTCTTTGATTATGGACAAAATTTGATAGATGCAGCTTCTCAATTTTGATTGCCTAAAGCAAATCTTCTAATCAGAAAGGCCAAGAAGTGCTAGGACATACTGCACACTGTAAATTTACATGAAAATACTTAAAGGAATTAACATATTTTTCTTCATTTGTGATAAATTGTCTTTAATTGTTGCCATTTGAAACATTCAAAACAGCTCAGATTGCAGCAAACATTTCTTGAAGCAAGATTATTGTGAACTGATACTTTATTGAGTTTGTCCAAAGTGCAACACAGATGACTCACATTTATTCTAGAGGTAAGTTGGATCATTACCCTCCACCTCAACACTTATAGAAAGATTTTTATAAGAGTTTTTACATGCAAAGACTCAAGAAATTACACCTCTAGCAATTCTAACACAGAAAAATTTTTTCTGACTGCCTTTCGCAAAGGGTGAATATTGCCCTCAATTTAAACAAAGATGAAAGCTCTGTACACGTTTTAGATCCAGACACTTTTATTTTTGCATCTTTTTAATATGCCACTGATGAAGCAGAGAGGAACATGGAGTCCCAAGGTAAGAAAGCATAAATGCATGTTTTGCTGAATGGAAACCTAAACCCTGCATGAAATACTCATATACTTAACAACTGTACCATGTTTTACACATTCACAAACGTATTTATCCCACCCAGAGCCAAAGGGACCATGTGAAGGAGAGTTGACTAAAAAATGCAATTTGAGACCATGTTTTGCAGTGTTGTGTATTTTGTGCAGTATGAATTTCCAAAAAAACCAGTAAATCTTTGCAAAGATATGCCATACTACCACACTGACCACCTCACACCCAGCAAACATATTAAAGGCAGATTTCTACCAAGTGCAAAGATGTAGATTTATAAAATGAGAAAGTTCCACAGCCTCCTTCAAAGAAACTGAACAGTCCAACAAATGATTCTTTGGCAGATTAGGATAAAGAAAACCGCACAGCAGAGTGGCTGCAAAATAAATGGCTATAAGTAAACAACAAAGCTCAAATCCCACTGTGTAATTTCTTACCACATGAACAGTTAATAGAAAATATTGGGTCTGCTGAATAGCTGAATTTTATAATTACTATTACAGATTTGACCTCCTTTTCATAAGTTTCCTGCAGACATTAATTATTGAAGCTTTGATATTAAAAAACAACAACAAAAAAGGTTTATTTAATACCCCTGCTTCCCCCCTTGATATTGGCTGAAACACAAAGGACAGGTCTGACAGCCATGCTAACACAAACCTTGCCAAAATTAGGAGGCATGAAGGCACGAGGTGTTATTGATTAAATCATAACCGGAAAATGGTCAAGCCCAGGCTCTGTCAGATTGTGGAGAGACACAGCCAACAGTCTCTGGCGTGCTCACTCCAGGCCTGTGCAGGAGAGAATTTTTGCTAACCTTGAACTCCACAAGCTGCCCAGGAAGGTCAAGAAATTCTGTCAAAAATGGTGCTGTAGCTGAAGCAGCGACTACATATCAAGCAGCTGCTTCAAGCTGTGGAATGGTGACTACAACCATTTAACCTTTTCTATGCAGAGCTATAATGGAGAATTTAAAACAAGAATACACAGTCAATATAATTAGATGGAAGAAGTGGGAAATGTATTCAAATATTAAGAACAAGCTACTAATTCTCTGAAAGTTGGCCCAAATTTTTGAAAATATTTTAGGGTACTAACGGCTAGCTTTTATTCAAATACCAGTATACAGCAGCTGATGATTCAGCTGAAAATTTTATGAAAGTGGAAATTATAATTCTGGGTAACACGGTATATTGCACATTTCATCAAAGTTATTTTTTTATGGTTGCAGTTTAAAGTCCTATAATACTAATGGAGAACTGGCAAACTCATCGCCAAAGAGGCATAATAAGAAAACAGCTATTCTAAATAAAATAAAAAAAAAAGAAAATGAAAAAGAAAAAATACCCCAACAAAATCCCCCTCAAACCAGTTAGCAACATATAAATCCATTTTTTAATCTTCCATTGAAACAAAAACGGCTTCCAAACACACAGAAAGGGAGGCCTTTAAATTAAATTCACTAGATGAAGGATATGCAAATTACCTGAAGAAGCGGAGCCCTATAATGTTCTGAAAATTCTGCAATAGCCTATTTAATTAGTATTTTAATTTATCAGAATAATTCTTTGCACTTGACAATTTATGCAGTATTCCATATAATTAAGCACGTAGCTACAGTAGAATAATTTTGCCTACTCTCTGTATACCAGTTATTTTAACCTGAAAGAATCTGTGGAAGTCTCTTCTGTGATCTAAATTACAATGGGGACAACTTAATGGCTTTGCTCTATTAGAGAGCATGATGAGGGTGTTACTGAGTGTTTAAGGGTAGGGATTGTCACCGCTCAGTCTTCACTAACCTGAGGGAGGTCTGATGTGTTTTCTGAGGGCAAACGTTTATTTCCTTTAGCAAAGTTATCTGTCAGTGGCACAGTCAGGAATTGGAGTGTGTGGGTTTGGCAGGTTTAACCTCAGAGTCCACCAGTTATTAGAAGGAGCAAGTTATGGAGGGCTCTGAGCTGAGTCCCAGCCTCATTACCGCACTTCTGGAAAAAGGTTTTCTATCAAGCAGGATGCCAAGCACAGCTGCACCCTCCAGCTGGCTCATGGGAGCACACGCTGGCACCAGGGAGGGAAAGGGAACCAGGGAAAGGGTTTCAGCAGGAAGCCTCCCCAGGCTGTTGCAGGATTTACCTACCCCAAAGAAGAACTACCCTTAAATATGAAAAATGTTTTTGGGAAGATGGCATCGCTCACCAGGAAAACTTGATTTTTGGTGTCTGACTTTGCATGTGTTGTATTTAATTGAATGTAGGAAAAAAAGTACTTAGGGGCATATGATTCCCTCTATTACCTGCCCATTTTAAAATGAGAAAATTCATGCTCTAGACTTGCTAACTATATTGACTGGACTTCCAGTCAATAAATTGAGGGCAACTAATTCAGATTTGCTGATTCTGAATTGAATGAATACTGATTTGGCTGTCAGATGAGTCCTACAACCACTGTCTTCTTCCCATCCACTTGTTGCAAGGCTCCTTTAAAAGAGCCACATCTAGAAGAATTTAATTTATTTTCCTCTCTGAAAAAAGGAAAGAAAAAAGGAGGACAGAAATTCCAGAGAGATGGTGCTTATTATAGCTTTTAGCTTTTTAACAAGAATCTCTAAGAGAAGCAAATGTTACATTTATTTACATCAACTTAGACTTTTCTTTCTCCTCCCCTACAAGGAACCCTTGAATATTTGGAAAGTTCTTCATAGCAGGGTTCAGAGAGTGTGCCTTTGTCTTTGGCAGGGCCACACACTGTGCCATGCATATGTACAGCACATCAAAAAGCATAACATGGAATATTCAAAATGCATCAGCTCAGGACAAGAATGACCAACTCAAGTGGCTGATAAAGTGAGAAGAAGAGTACTTGTACTAAATTTTAAATTATTAAATTTTTAAATTTTACAATTAGTGAGGAACAAGTACACAAGCTGCAGGCTCACTCAATAAAACAAAACACAAGGTATTTTGTCCTCCAATCTTTACAGAGTGATGGCATGAGATAGCTGCTTCATGTGTAATTTCTATTTAACTGGCAGCCAGGCCTGGAATGGAAATGGTTGCAGAAAAGTCAAAGCTGCATCGCTGTGCTAGGAACAGCCTGCTAAATACTATGTCATATTCAATTTTCAAGTCATTTTTCAAGTGATTTTAATTAGATATTGTTTCAATCTCATGTGCATTAATTTAATTTCTGATATCAACATTTCAGCTTTCAATCTGTTCAGATATAGTACCTTGCTGCCTGGAGTAATTTAAAATATTGTTTGCATCTCCAGCAATTTTGAGAGCACACATCCTTTACAACCTGCTCTAGCCAATAAAACCTACAGATGGAAATTCAGACCATGCTCACCACTCCCTGTGCACCT